GAGGAAACCTCATTGTTACTTTGCTTTGAAAAATATTTTAAATTTGGGTAATATAAATATATCCTGTTGTATTCTTTTTATTCAACATATTTTTTGGCTATTTGGGGCTCTTTCATGTGTTTAAATTAATTTTAATATTTTTTCTAGTTCTATGAAAATGCCATTGGCATTTTGATAAGAATTGCATAAATCGTTATGCAGCCTTGGTTAATATGATCATTTACTGATATCTATTCTTCCAATCTATGGCCATAGATGTCTTCATTTCTTTTGTGCCTTTTCAATTTCTTTCATCAGTGTTTTCTAGGTCTCATTGTCGAGATTTTTTACTTTATTGGTTGAACTGAGTCCTAGGTTGGTATTTTTATAGTAATTGGAAATAAGAATAGTTTTAAAATTTTTCAGATAACTTGCTATTAGTATAAATCACTGCTACTGATTTTTATATTTTGACATTTTATCTTGCAAATTTGTTTTATTAATTCTAAAAGATCTTTGTTAGAGTATGTGATGTTTTCTATGTATGTGCTCATGTCATCTCCCACCAGTGACAATTTGACTTCCTTTGTTCCAATTTGAATGTCTATTTCTTTCTCTTACCTAATTGCTACATGATTTTTCATACTATGTTAAATAGAAATGCTTGGCAGGGCGCCGTGGCTCACTAGGCTAATCCTCCACCTTGCGGTGCCGGCACACCGGGTTCTAGTCCCGGTTGGGGCACCAGATTCTGTCCCAGTTGCCCCTCTTCCAGGCCAGCTCTCTACTGTGGCCAGGGAGTGCAGTGGAGGATGGCCCAAGTGCTTGGGCCCTGCACGCCATGGGAGACCAGGATAAGTACCTGGCTCCTGCCATCGGATCAGCATGGTATGCCGGCCACAGCACGCTGGCCGCGGTGGCCACTGGAGGGTGAACCAACGGCAAAAGGAAGACCTTCCTCTCTGTCTCTCTCTCTCTCACTGTCCACTCTGCCTGTCAAAAGAATTAGAAATGCTTAAAGTGATCATTTTGTGTTATTCCAGATCTTGGAGAAGAATTCTTCAGCCTCTCCACATTCAATATGGTGTCAGCTGTTGGCTTGTTGTATATGTCCTTTGTTACATTATTGTGTACCTGATTTGTTCAGAGTTCCTATTATGAAAGACTCTTAATTTTTATCAAGTGCCTTTTCTACATCTATTGAGAATGACATACGATTTTTGCACTTTGGTTGTTATAGCATGTCATGTGTAGTGATTTGTGTATGTAAAAACACACTAGTATCCTTGGGGTAAATCTCTTCTGACTGTAGTATGTAATCCTTTTAATGTACTAGTATTTTTGTAAATTTTCCCATCTGTACTTACCAAGGATATTAGTTTATAATTTGAGTTTTTGTTGTATCTTTGGTTTTGGTTTAAAGGTAATGCTGACCTTATAGAATGCATTTTGAAGAATTATTTCTCTCCTATTTTTGAATAGTTTAAGAAGTATTGATGTTAATTGTTTTTACATGTTTCATAGAATTTATAAAAGGGCAGGCACTATGGCCTAGAGGGTAAAGCCACTGTCTTCAGTGCTGGCATCTTATATTGGCCATCACTTCAAGTTCTGTCTGATCCACTTCCAATACTGCTCCCAGATCATATGTCTGGGCCACTGTACCCATGTGGGAGTTCCAGATGAAGTTTCTGATTCCTGTCTTCATCCTGGCACAGTTACAGATATTGTAGCCATTTTAAAAGCAGGAAAATTGCAAGTTTACAACATAGTACTGCATGTAAAAAACTAGAAAAGCAAGCTGCCTATATCATCAGATAGTAAAATGAAATAAAACAGAAGTCAGAACATTGGTAAATGACTCCAAACAGGCATAACCACAGTAGAGAGGCAAGAGAGCTACAGAACAAACAAGGACAAAAATAAAAAGAACTATGGCCAGCACTGTGGAACAACAGGTTAAGCTGCTGTGAGCAATGCTGACATTTTATATTTAAGTGTTAGCTGGGAGTCCTGGCTACTTTGTTTCTGTCACTACATTGCTAATACTCCTATGAAGTTAGTACTTAATGATCCATATGTTTGGGGCCCTTCCACCCATGTGGGAGGCTAAAATGGAATTTAGGCCTCCTGGCTTTGGTCTCACCTAGACATGGCTGTTTCAGCCATCTGTGGTAGTGAAGTAGTGAATATAAGAACTCTGTGTACATGTTTTGCTCTGTCATTGTCTTTTAATGGAAAAAAAATTAAACATTGGCCCAGAAACAATCCCAGGAAGATAGTTTGGACATTTGGCCACCACAGCAATACTTATGAATCCTCTTCAATCTATAAATAGATTGGTAATATGGACAAATGAGACAGTCTACACACAAATCTGCGATTCACATGACTGAAAAAGCCACAAGACAAATCCTACCTAGGACAAAAAAAAACCAACATCCAACTCTAATAGTACAGCATTATGGCTGGCATGTGAGGTAACACAACTGTGGTCACATTACTGATCTGTACTAGAATAAATGGAGGAAGACTCATGTGCAGGCAGTGAAAGAGTTGTACCAAATACTTTGCAAATGTTAGGGTTGTATTTCAAACTGAGTAGTATAGAATGAGTATTTACTTACAAAAAATTACATGTGGATATCGCTCCCCTACTCATAATAAGTGCAGGCAAAACAGCAGATTATATGGCACAGAGACTAATGTAGATTTCAAAGACTGCATAGCCAGCCTCTGCAGTACAGTGTTACACCCTCATGTGAATTCCCTAATACCTGCAGAGATGTGATGTTAAACAGGTATTTTTCCACCTTCATTACTGTTTTGCAGAATAATATTGAGTAATTTTGCTAGCACTTATTTTATGTACTAATAATTTTGTGGATAATTTTGCTGATGCTTGTTGAAATCTGCCTCAGAGTAAAAGCTTTGCCCACTTCCAATGCCTTTGTAGAGTTCTTCCTCTAAGATCCCTGATAGTGAGATCTGGCTATGGTAGAAAGTTTTCCTATATTCACATGCTTTCTCACCTGTGAGTTCTTTGATGTGTGCCTAACACTGACTTCTGGCATCAGGAATTTTCATAATCACTTCATTAAAAGGTGTTTCTTCCTTTTTGTGAGTTTTGCCTTCTGTTGAGATGTAGCTTCTGGCAAAAAGTCTTTTCTTATCCATAGCACTGACAAGTTATCTCTTACATGTGAGTTCTTTGATGCCTTCTGAAGTTTGAATTCTGGGAAAATGTTTTTCCACATTCATCACATTGATAAGGTTTCTCCCCTGTGTGAACTCTCTGATGTGTAATGAGTTGTGAGTTATTACAAAAGACTTTTCCACATATTCATAAATTTTCTCTGATCTATGCATTCTCTGATGGGTAAAGAGTTGTGATTTCCAACAAATGGGTTTTCCACACATTTTGCATTTATAAATCTTCTCCGTCTTATGTAGAGTGAGTTGTGACTTCTGGAAAAACGATTTTCCACAGGTACTACGTTCATAAGTTTTCTTCCTTTTTGTGGATCATCTGGTGTGCAATGAGTTGTGATTTTTGGCAAAAGGCTTTTCCACATGTATTGCATTCAAAAGGTTTATCCCCTGTGTGAATTTTCTCTGATGTGTAGTGAGGTTTGACTTCCAGCGAAAGGTTTTTTCACACATTTCACATCCATAAGGTTTCTCATTTATGTGAATCTTCTGATGTGAAGTTAGATTTGACTTTTGGATAAAGGCTTTTCCACCTTTATTACATTCATAAGGTTTCTGCCCTATGTGAATTCTCTGATGTACAGTGAGATTTGACTTCCAGGAAAAGGCTTTTCTGCATATATCACATTTGTAAGATTTCTCCTTTGTGTGAATTCTTTGATGTGAAATAAGGATTGTTTTCCAATGAAAGCCTTTTCCGCATGTATTACATTGATAAGGTTTCTCCCCTGTGTGAATTCTCTGATGTAGAATGAGTTGTGACTTCCAATAAAATGCTTTGCCACACGTTTTACATGTGAAAGATTTGTATCTTGTGTGAGTCATGTGGTTTGTAGTATCTGACCTCAGGTAAATGGCTTTCCCACATTCATCGCACCCAGAGGGCCTTTCCCCTTTCTGAGTTCTATGATGGATAGAAAGGCAGGATTTACAATTGAAAGATTTTCCACAGGGGTTACAAGAATAGGTTTTTCTTCCTGTATGTGTTCTTTGACTTGTGATAAAATCTGATTTGTAAATGAGAGTTTCCTCATACTCAAAAGATTCATAAAGTTTCTTTCCTGTGTGTGCTTGTTGAGGTTTACTGAGGTAGGACTTTTTCTGGAAAGTTTTCTTTACATGTTCAGTTGTCTTTCCTACAATGCCAACTGACTTATTACAGGTGTCTCCCATATGAGCCCTTTCATTTGTAAAGAACACCCTTTTCCTGTTGAACCCTTTGCCTTTTACACTGTGTTCAAACACCTGCTGAAAAGGCTGAATCTTGTGAGGCTGCCTGATGGGCTCCCAACGTTCACTTGAGTTGCCAGGTACATTAGTGCCATCAGATTTCTCTGCAGCTCACATCTCATCAGGCCTCCTAGGGAGAAGCAAATTGTGAAATAAATTATATGTCTCAGCTTTCAGTAAAAATATGGCCTGAGCTTAAATTAAGTGTTGCTTTTTTTTTTAACAGGCAGAGTGGACAGTCAGAGAGAGAGAGAAAGGTCTTCCTTTGCCATTGGTTCACCCTCCAATGGCCGCTGCAGCTGGTGCACCACGCTGATCTGAAGGTAGGAGCCAGGTGCTTCTCCTGGTCTCCCATGGGGTGCAGGGCCCAAGCACTTGGGCCATCCTCCACTGCACTCCCCAGCCATAGCAGAGCTGGCCTGGAAGAGGGGCAACTGGGACAGAATCTGGCACCCTGACTGGGACTAGAACCTGGTGTGCCGGTGCTGCTAGGCGGAGGATTAGCCTGTTGAGCCACAGGCACCAGCTAAGTGTTGCTTTTTAACTCTCTTGTGTGCTAAGTTGTTGTTTGTGATTACAACTTGCCTCAAATTTATTTGTTGACTTTTCCAGTTGGTTCCCAATAGGTCATCCCTTCTGTGGGCTGAAATGAGAAAAAAAAAAAAACTATATCCATGAACCATATATAAATGTTACTTGTAGAATGTTCAAGTAAAAGCAATGCAATTTCTTAGTGGAATAGCATTTGAATAGGTCAGTAAAAGGTATTCAGTGTTGCCCTATATATCTTTTTCTTCATAATACACTAAGGTAATAAAACAAAGGAAGCTTTCCCAAATTCATACATTTAACTATGTTAATTGTTTTAAGTGGAGAGAAGGGGCAAGTGATGTCAGGCAGTGGGTCAAACCATTTCTGAGGATACAGTCATCCCACATTAGTACCAGATGAGTCCTGGCTACTGTGCTTCCAATACAGATTCCTGCTAATGTGTCCTGGCAGGCAACCAATGATGATTCTAAGTGTGTTGGAGCCTGCCACACACTTAAAAGACCCAAACAGATTTACTGGCTTTTGGTTTCAGGTTGGCCTCATTCTTACTGTTGCAGGCATTTGGGCAATGAACATGTAGATGGAGGACTTTTCTCTCATTCTCTATTTCTCTGTTACTTTCATTCTGCCTTGCAAGGAGAACATAATAAACATTTTCATAACTAAGTAAATATTCATAAAAGTTGAGAAACACTTAGTAAAAAATACTTACCAACTATCTTATTTGAGTAATAAGCTGCAAACTTCCCAGAAGCCATCATCATTTCTTATAAAAGTGAGGTTTCTTGCTTCCTTAATCATTCAGCTTTGAAGATGGGAAAACTTCATTGGATCACTTACTTATAGGTACCAGAAGAGGACATGTGTGTATCCCCTAGGCAGGACCATAACTTAGAAACAGCATCCATTTTTTGGTTGCTGCATGTTCAGTTTTTCCAGGGGAATGGCTATAGAGATCTGTGGGGTTTCTTAAGCAAAAACACCTCCTTTAAATGTTTTCAAGATTTGTTTATTTTAGAGGCTGGTGCTGTAGTGCAGTGGGTTAAAGCCTTGCCCTGTGGCACCAGCATCCCATATGGGTGCCAAGTCTCAGCTGCTCCACTTCAGATTCAGCTACCTGCTAATGTGCCTGAGAAAGCAGCAGAGGATGGCCCAAGTCACTTGGTCCTTGTACCTGCATAGGAGACCCAGAAGAAACTCTGGACTCTTGGCTTCATATTGATTCAGCTGCACGCATTTCAGTCAGTTAGGAGTGAACTGGCAGATGAAAGACCTCTCTCTCTCTCTCTGTCTCTACCTCTCTCTCTCTCTCTCTCTCTCTCTCTCTCTTTCAAATAAATAAAAAAAACTTTTAAAAAAGATTTATTTTTTTTAAAGACAGAGTTACAAAGAGAGATGGAGAGAGAGAGAGTATTCATCCACTTATTCACTCCCCAAATGGCTGCAATGGTCAGGGCTGTACCAGGGTAAAGACAGGAGCACAGAACTCCAAATGAGTCTCCCAGATATGTGCAAAGAAACATCTGCTGCTTTCCCAGGCACAGTACCAGGGAGCTGCATCACAAGTGGGGCAGCCAGGACTCAAGTTGGTGCCCATATGAAATGCTGTCATTACAGGAAGTGGTTCAACATACTGTCACAATCTCAGCCCTTCCCAAATCTTTTATATGCACATTATGATGACAGGTTTCCACAGATTCCTAAGAAAACCTAGTATCTTCAGATTCTCAGTACCACAGAAGGCCCATAAATGTCCCATACATCATTTTTTGTATGCTTTCCAATCAATTTAAGGAAATATGTTCTGCCATTAGGATTATGTTCACCTTCTTTGAGAAGTACTTCAACCTCATTATGAAACCAGCATACTTGGTATTCTTTGAGTTCTTGGTATTACACTCTTGCTCTAAAATTTAAAGTTATGTCTTTTAATGCTTGTGCTAGATGCTCAAAATTATCCCATTTTTACAGAAAACTGATTCTCTTATGCATTTCTAAACTTTTATATTATAATTATATTATAAAAGGAGCAGGAAAAGTATTATAGCAGGTTAACCTGCTTCCTGCAACACTGGCATCCCATTTTCTTCATGATTTATTTATTTGAACTACAGGGATAGGGACAGAAAAACAAAGCCCATTCACTCATTCACTTTTCAATTGCTTGCAATGGCCATTTATTTTGTTACTCATTTATTTGAGAATCAGAGACAGAAAAAAGGGAGAGAGGGGATGCCACTATGGCATAGCGGGTAAAGCCACTGCCTGCAGTGTTGGCATCCCATGTGGGTACTAGTTCAAGTCCCAGCTGCTCCACTTCTGACTGGGAAAGCAGTAGAAGATGTACAGTAGAAGTACTTGGGCCCTGCACCCATGTGTGAGTCCCAGAGGAATCTACTGGCTCCTGGCTTCAGATTGGCGGCAGCTGCAGCCAATTGGGGAATGAACCAGCACTTGGAAGACCTCTCTCTCTCTGCCTTTCCTTCTTTCTCCATGTAACTGACTTTCAAATCAATAAATCTTTAAAAAAAAAAGACAGAATAAGGGAGAGGAAAGAGACAATGAGAAAGCTCACGTTCACTAATTCAGTACTTGAATTTGTGCAACAGTAAGGCCTGTGCCTGGTCAAAACCATAAGTGGGAACTAAATTTCTGCAACTCATAAGAAATCAGTTCCTCTGTGTGATCCAATTTTTATAAGCATTGATAGAATAAATACATGAATAGGACAGTGCCATGGCTCATTTGGCTAATCCTCCGCCTGTGGCACTGGCACCCCAGGTTCTAGTCCTGCCTGGGGTGCCAGATTCTGTCCTGGTTGCTCCTCTTCCAGTCCAGCTCTCTGCTGTGGCCCAGGAAGGCAGTGGAGGATGGCCCAGGTGCTTGGGCCCTGCACCCACATCAGAGACCGGGAGGAAGCACCTGGCTCCTGGCTTCAGATCAGTGCAGCACACCAGCCACAGCACACTGGCTGGAGCAGCCATTTGGGGAGTGAAACAATGGAAGGAAGACCTTTATCTCTGTTTCCCTCTCTAACTCTGCCTGTCAAAAAAACCTGTCAAAAAAAAAAAAAAAAAAGAATAACATCTGAAGAAAAACAGGATGTGACAGTAGGAAGAAGGACAAGTTTGAATACAGGGGATGTATTTAACCTAAAAATTAGTCTCATTACAGGCAGAAATTGATTGCAATGGGGCTAGCACTGTGGCACAGTAAGCTAAAATTCTGCCTGCAGCATCGACAACCCATATGGGTACTAGTTCATGTTCCAGGTGCTCCTCTTCAAATTGGCTCTCTGCTAATGGCCTGGGAAAGTGGTGGAAGATGGCCCAAGTGCTCTCCATCTTGGAGACCCAGAGGAAATTTCTGGCTCCTGGTTTCATATCAGCTCAGCTCTGGCCATTGCAGCCATCTGAGGAGTGAACCAGTGAATGCAAGACCTTTCTATCTCTCCCTCTGTCTGTCTGTAACTCTACCTCTCAAATAAATAAATAAAATTTTAAAAATAAATTGATTGCATTGTTGGTAGTTCTGACAAAGTATTCACCCAGAGCAAAACAACAAGCAGATGATGCATCATATCAGCTGTTCTCAGGACTGAGACTTGGGATAAATAATGAGAAATGCTCTACCCAGTCAACATTCCTTGAGATCTTTTCCATCCCAGTCTCCCTGTCCCATGTGTGCTGACTGACCTGACAGGCTCCAATTTAGGGGTTTTGTCACTGTCCATGGCTCTGTCCCCTGTTCCAACTTGAAGATCACCTCAGGTTTGCTTTTGCAGTACCCTGTTAAAGGGAAATAATGCTGGGTGTCATCATATCATTATGTTAGAGTTTTGAAAGACAACAGCTTGTTCACAGGGGCTGTGAAACAAAATTGTTGATTTCAATCCTTTCCTCATGTTTCTTGGCCTCAAATTCTATGCTTATCCACCATGTAATCTTTTAAACAATTAATTTGCTTGCCACATGGGAAGTAACTGTTTCACTTCGGCATGAGAGGGGAATAATACTCACCCAAAAACAACAGGCTATTGTAGGTCTCCATCATCATATCTTTGTACAGGGTCCTCTGAGAACTGTCCAGGTACTGTCACTGCTCCTGAGTGATGTCCACAGCCAGGTCTTCAAATGACACCAACATCTGCAACAGCACATTTTTTTTTTTGGTTCATCATGCCAGTTCTGTCACAAAAAGACTAGGAGTGCATTTCTCTGTGTGTGTCTTCTATGCCTCTTATATAAGATGCGGATGATTTTGGAATCTATATGGCAACAGAATGCAAAATTACAATGAAAATGTCTTGCTTCTATATTAATTTCATAATTCAAAAATCAGTACAGTGGAATGCTTGTTATTATGGAACTGCTCTTTCTCCTAATGATTTTGAAAAGAGCCCATACTGCAATCTGTAGAAATACATGTAAGCATATGACTGAATTAGCATTAGATGAGTTACAGGAGAAAATGTTGAACATCAATTGGGAGAACGAGGAATTTCTTAAAAAATAAATTTTTCTGTATTATCAGATCATTTATTTTATTGCAAACTTTTTTAAATTTATGCATAGTTTTTTATAATGTATTTTTTCCAGTTAATTATTTGATAAATTTTTGTGTGTACTTAATGACTACCACAATTATGTAACCAGGCCATAGGTCAAATAATATTTACATCATGGACATAGAGTTTGAAGCAGGAAAAAGAATATCAGTAACATGTATCAGGTACAGTTCACTCTACTTCATATGTCTACAGGAAAATGCTGAGCTCATAAAAATATCCAAATCATACAAGAAAGAGATAAAGGGAAGAGGAAGAAACCAGAAACTTGAGGATGCATAGGAATGGAAAACTCTCAAAGCATTTTCATTTGGGCTTTTATTATAAGGTTTTCAAGTCTGCCTTTTTTAATCTTACAAGTAAAATATACAGTAAGAAACAATTTGGAAAGCCAAAACATTCATACTGAAATCCATGTTAACTTGAAAATTAAGGTTATGACCATGACAGCTATTGCTAAATCATGTAAATGAAGTAGTTGTTCTCAATAGAATTTTCAATTGTTCAAAATCACAGGAAGGAGATCACAAGGTACATCTAAAAAACATGCTAAAACACTAGTAACATAACCAGACAAAATGTCATGTTTCAGAAGGCTGACACCTGGCTGGAATAACAAATACACTCACACACACAAATACACACATACACACACATTCTAAAGGGTTATACTGTCAGAAACAACCAAATTTACTTCAAAAGTGCCAGAAGATAAAGAAGTTATATTATAAACAAGAAGGAAGCCAACAAGGCAGCCCAGCCCATAGTAAGCATGCTGTATTCAGTCCTGGTCAATGATGTAATGTGGAGCCAGTGCCATGGCTCTCTAGGCTAATCCTCCACCTTGTGGTGCCGGCACACTGGGTTCTAGTCCCGGTCGTGGCACCGGATCCTGTCCCAGTTGCCCCTCTTCCAGGCCAGCTCTCTGCTGTGGCCCAGGAGTGCAGTGGAGGATGGCCCAAGTGCTTGGGCCCTGCACCCACAAGGGAGACCAGGAGAAGCACCTGGCTCCTGCAATCAATCAGCATGGTGTGCTGGCCTCAGCGTGCCAGCTGCGCCGGCCATGGCAGCCATTGGAGGGTGAACCAATGGCAAAAGGAAGACCTTTCTCTCTGTCTCTCTCTCACTATCCACTCTGCCTGTCAAAAAAATGATGTAATGTAAATAATATTGATAATGGTTAAAGAAAGCTATTTCTGAGAAGAAACAATGATTCCTTGGAAAACAACAGGTTGAAGAGCTACCAAGGTATGGAATGGAGTCAACAAAGTCTGTGTCTCAAGTACACAGCACAGGCCACTCTCCACATGTATCCCAAGTATGGTCATATTGCCATGAGACAGTGCTGCTATCCTCCAGAATTCCTAAATTATTTTTAAAATGAAATTATAAAAAAGGAATGGCTGTCATGATTATCCTCCTCCTTTTTAAATCATGTACACTGATTAAAAACAAAGCAGTCACCTTGTCTGCTCATGACACACAGGTCTAACAATCAAGAGAAGCCACATCTGGACATGATACATGTCTGGTTTCATTCACAGAACTTGGATTTGATTTCAAAGTTGAGAATAGATGATATTTTTTAAGTTTGTCTCTCTGGGTATGGAATGAAGTTAAGACACTTGTGAGATAAGATTAACTGATGTGTGGTGACCACTGCTCACTCAACTTCAGTATTGTTTCTTGTGAGAAAATCACATATCCTCTCCCAGTCTAGAACTCACACAAGTTCACATGATTCTCACTCAGCAAATATCAGTAGATATGAATTGTGTCACTTCTAGGAGAGCTTTACTTGGTCCAATGGCTTCTATATTCTCCAATCACAAAGATGAGCATTTCTAGTAAAGGTCACTATAGCAGGATGAAGAAAAATAGGAGATCTGAAACACACTTTAAATGTGGAAGCCCTGCAGTGTCTGGGAGTCACTTGTCACCTAATTATACCCTAACTTTTCAACCCTATTGTTGTGAGACACTAACAAATAGAGCATCTGTTACAGCAGTTCACTTTAATAGATGGATCTCTCTAAGTCCATGGAAGGGGGCAAGAAATGCACAGAGGCTAGGGGTTATAGACTTTTTAGCAAATTTTGTGGAAAACATACACAAAATAAAATTAAAAGTGAACCCACAGTTCACACTGAGTATTTAACAACTTTAGAATTACATGCAGTGTGTGATTAATAATCTTAGATTAGGAAAATCTATTCTAACTGAAACTCAATATCCAGAAACTATGCAAGCTCAAATTCAAGAATAGAAAACTCAGCAGAATTTTTAGAGGTAGAATGACAAAATTAGTAACTTAAACATCACCAGATATGCCTTTTTTGTGTATTGTCAATTGCCAAATTCTGAAGATATGTAGCATGGGAGGTTAAATCCAATGCCAAAAATGACTACAGAGGAAGGAGATTTTTTCATTCTCATTTTGCTGAGGATACAAATATCTTCCATTGGAATGGGTCTCATTAATATGGGATCTCAGATGAAAGTACTGGAGACTCAGTGATGTGTGGGATGGCTAGCAAGTGGTATGGGCAAGTGGTATGGCACATATGTAAGTGCAGATCTCACTGGGAGTAGGATCAGAGAAATATATCCTAAGCTAGTGAAAATTGTAATCCTATTGATCAACAAATCAGGCTACAAATCACAAGCTATACAGAAAAATGTTAACATTTCCTGAACAAACATTGTCCTTTACCCAAATTCTAGAGGTTTTTCTCTCCTTTTAAGTATTTATGTATTTGCATGGCTGAATGACAGGGAGAGAAAGATAGGGAAAAAATCTTCCATTAGCTGTTTCACTTCCCAAGTCTCAGCAAATTCAAAAAAGTCAAAATCATACCATGCATCTTCTCAGAACACAATGGAATGAATCTGGAAATCAGCAACTCAGGAATCTCTAGAGCATATGTAAACACATGGAAACTGAACAACATGCTCCTGAATGAACACTGGGTCACTGAAGAAATCAAAAGAGAAATCAAAAACTTTCTGGAAGCAAATGAAGATAACAACACAACATATCAAAACTTATGGGATACCACAAAAGCAGTGTTAAGAGGAAAGTTTATAGCAATAGGTGCCTACATCAATAAATTGGAAAGGCACCAAATAAATGAGCTACCAATCCATAACAGGGATCTAGAAACTCTACAGCAAACCAAACCCAAACCTAGTAGGAGAAAAGAAACAATTAAAATCAGAGAAGAAATCAACAAAATTTAATCCAAAAAAATTACAAAGATCAGCAAAACAAAGAGCTGGGTTTTTGAAAAATAAACAAAATTGATACACCATTGGACCAACTAACCAAAAAAAAAAAAAAGAGAGAGAGGGAAGACCCAAGACCCAAACCATTAAAATCAGAGATGAGAAAGGGAATGTAACAACAGAAACAACAGACACCAAAGAAATAGTCATCAGAAATTACTACGAAAGAGCTGTATGCCAACAAACTGGGAAGTCTAGCAGAAATAGAAAGATTCCTGGACACATACAACCTACCTAAATTGAACCATGAAGACATAGAAAACCTAAATAGATCCATATCTAAGACAGAAACTGAAACAGTAATAAAGGCCCTCCCAACAAAGAAAAGCCTAGGACTGGATGGATTCACTGCCGAATTCTACCAGGCATTTAAAGAATTAACTCCAAGTACTCTCAAGGTATTCAAAACAACTGAAAGAGAGGGAATCCTCCCAAATTATTTCTACAGAGCCAGAATCACCTTCATCCTTAAACCTAAAAAAGAGGCACCAGAGAAAGAGAATTACAAATCAATTTACCTGATGAACATAGATGAAAAAAATCATCAATAAAATTCTAGCCAGTAGAATGCAGCAACACATCAGAAAGATCATCTACCCAGACCAAGTGGGATTTATCCCTGGTATGAAAGGATCAGTTCAACATTTGCAAATCAATAAATCATTTACAAACTGCAGAAGAAAAAGCATGCAATTATCTCAAAAGATGCAGAGAAAGCATTCAATAAAATATAACACCCTTTCACGATGAAAACTCTGAGCAAATTAGGTATAGAAGGAACATCCTTCATTACAATCAAGATGATTCATGACAAACCCATGGCCAGCATCATACTGAATGGGGAAAAGTTGAAACCATTCCCACTGAGATCCGGTACTAGACAGGGATGTCCACTCTCACCACTGCTATTCAATATAATACTGGAAGTTTTAGCCAGAGCTATTAGGCAATAAAAAGAAATCAAAGGGATTTAAATTGGGAAGGAAGAGTCAAACTATCCCTCTTTGCAGATGATATGATCTGCAACTCTACCAAGAGACTATTGGAATCATAGAAGAGTTTGGTAAAGTAGCAGGTTACAAAACCAATACGCAAAAATCAACCACCCTTATATATACAGACAATGCCATGGCTGAGAAAGGATTTCTAATATCAATCCCATTCACGATAACTACAAAAAACACATTGGAATAAACTTAACCAAGGGATTCAAAGATCTGTATGATGAGAATTACAAAATTTTAAGAAATTGAAGAAGATATCAAAAATGGAAAAATCATGTTCATGGATTGGA